GTCTCCACAAATTAAGCATAATAAAGCTCACCTGAGTTTGTCAGGTGAACTCTGGTTCACTTCATTTGGTCCACACCCCAAATGATAGTTGACGCTCCAGGACACTGTCGTAAAAGAGATTTTTAAAGATGCTATACATTGATCCAGCTTGTGTATGAATTCAGGCCGTAAAAAGTGCTGAGTAGAGACTTAGCGTGACGCCCGCTCTCCTCCAGTCACAGAACAGGGCTGCGTCCTCTAGCCTCTACAGCGCTGGTAAACAAGAGCAGAATGTTAGCAGAAAGTGTCTATATAGCTCCTCTGGCTGTAACTGCATGCACAGCAAAACAGCCCGCACGATTTAACAGTGAGGAAGAGAAGAGGGAACAAAGAAATCAAGCCCGGCTGAACGTAGCTAACTTACATTGTATCCTCTTGAGAGACTTGTCTATGGGAGAGACCTGCGGGACTGCCTCGGATTATCTATGCTCGGACTAGCGTTACATTCTGACGCGAAACTGCAGTAATCTTTCAGTTATATATTTTGTTAGCAGTGCGTTGCTTTTATACCATTTCATCAGTGATTGTTGTACAGCTTACAAGAAGTTGCGCATACTTATCAGACTAGATGGCTCCGTGGAATGAGAGCGTAGGAAAAATGAGAAGCCTGTGAGCGAGTTGAGGGGCGGTTCTAAACAAACACAAACTACAAGATATTATCACAAATTAGATTGTTATATCAAAATAACATCAATAAATTATAAGTGTTATTCTGTAACCAATAAATAACTTCCCTCTGATGCCATGGCTTCTCTACTAAAATCTTTTAAAAAAATCTTTTTTCTTTGGTTCCTTGTTTTGATTGGCATGTTTTTTTGGAGTAGTGGTTCTTTTGGCACCCCCCCCCCCTCTCTGCTTCCTGATTAGCTCTGCTTTATTAGAATTATTATCATTCGCCTTTGGCCTCTGACAATCGTGTTTCTAAACTGCACAGCACTAAATAGTGACACTAATTTCCCCCTTGTTTGAACAGGATGAAACTTGTGGTAATGAAAGGAACAGGATTTTCTTTTCTAATTAATTTGACCATAAACAACAGAAAATGCTCTTTCAGTATTGCAACTAGTTTAGATCTATGATCTGGTTGGATCTGGCTGGACCTCTGGGAGTGCTATAGGTGCCACAGTGGAGCAGCTGAGCCTGTATCAAATTGTCATTCAGAAGTTCACTCTGAACCAGAGCAAAGAAAATGGTGCGGACAAAGCGGGCTTTCGGGAGCAGCTAACCAACAGCGGCTGTAACCGAAAGTGCTGTTGCACTTTATTATTACAGAAACTTTTAGAATTATGTATTAATTTATTTGAATGGATAATGTGGGTCTGCTGCAGGACACAAGTAGTCAAGGAAATAGAATAAAAAGAAACAGCTATATATACTAGAAAATAAACAAAACCAAGTCACAAGTCAGATCTGTACATAAAGATAAACATTAACATCAGTGAGGCATCAGTGCCACACACTATCAGTCTCAACTGTGGCGTCACTGGTACATATTTCATTGTATCTGGACCTCGTGTTTGTAAAAAAGTTTGTATTATAATAAAATAAACAGCAACAATGATAATAATGATGATAATAACAAAACAGGTTTTCCCATAGTAATTTGTGCAATAGCAGGTTCAAAAGTTCAAAACTTTGCAGGGGAGGGACGAGAGCTGTCAGAGGCTGTTGTTTTCATGTGTCACCATGGTAACTGTAGAAAAGTCCTTCATAGACATACTCTGCAGCATATTATGCTGCAGAGTATCAACGCTGTCACACCAGATCGTATAATACTTTTTAAGTGAGTGGTGAACAATTCGCCTGGAAAATGGTTAAAACAGCTATACATGTTTAACTGCTTTAATTTACGACACTTGCTATTATTAGTTCACCAATGCTATAGATAAACTTTGCTAAGACTTGACCATAAAAAGTGCAATAAATTTTGACCTGCTTGTGTTCACTGACGAGTGCTTACTTATGATCTTTATGGGGTCGGGATCAACTTTCTCTCCATGGCCTTGTGGCAGGTCACCATATGAGTCCTGTGACAGAATGCAGACAGAGCCAGCCGCTTCATAAAACCAAGTGTGGCCTCTGTAATCTTAAATGAGCAACACATGAGTTGAGTTCAATAACCTGAGTACCTTCAGTGCGTGCGTCTGCTACTGGTGATAAGGGCAAGTACAAGTTGTATAACCAGGACTATAATTACACCAAGACTGGTCATGAGATACAAACAATGTTTCAGACATGACCAGACACAATCCCATTTACTGTGAAAAAGTGTTTTATGGTTTCCCAAATGCAACTCTGGTCTATCATGGTTTGTTTACTTTCTGCACATGTTTGCACAAGTGATTGTAAAAACAGTACTATATTTTGTGTGTAATGTAATAACTAACTAGGTGTTAATTGTTGGGGGCAACAGTAGCTCAATTGGCCTTTGAGTCTCAAGGCTGAGACTCAAAGGCGAACCCACAACCTCAATTGGCCTTTGAGGATGTGGGTTCGATCCTCACATGAGACCTTCTACACCGACTCCCACTGATGTCTGCTGTCATCGTGTCCTTGGGCAAGACACTTAACCCCACTTTGCCTGAAGTCCCAGCTGAAAGTCCAAAGCTATGCTGTCACCGACAGAGCAGCCATCTTCTTGTGAACTCACCACCTGCAGGAGGATCAGTGAGGGACTGGTGCTTTGTACCCAGAAAATTGATTAAGGGGAAGAAAATGGATGGGTGGATGCATAATAATTTTCCTCTCTCATACTTTTTTGACTTGAATGCATGCACTGTGAGAATGTCTGAACAAATAGAAAATAAAGCTTCTATCAGACATGCCATAAATGCGTTGTTTTGTGCAGCAATAGATTGAACAAAAGCAACACTTCTCGTGATACCCTATCATGCGTGCCAAAATTATAAGTATCACTGGGCTAAGGGTCAAACCTATTTGTGTTTCGTAAAAAAAGGTTAGTCAGCATTGATATTAAATTAGATTGTCTTAATCCCTGTCTGCCCGAATTTGTCCTCTGGGCCCCACTTTGGGCGGCACTGTCCTAGATACATTTTATGCCTTCACTTCCATGGGCCCTCCCCAGGTCATGTACGAGTCAGGTTTGCAGAGATGCAAACATGTACCTTAGATATATTCTTAACAAACACAAGGATTCAACAACATGAAAAATTATGGCAGAAAATCATTGCTTCTTCATCGTGCTAAAGATTAAGATTTTAGACTTCTTTCTTTGTAATGCTAAAGATAGAGATTTTATACTGCTTATTTTTGAACTAGAGTTAGAGATGTTAATATATATTGTATTTTAGTATAGAGTATTATTAAAAGTAGTAGTATGTCAAGTCATCACTAAATGGCCCTAATCTGTCAAAATGCATTAATTAGCTGTGCTCTTTTCAAATACTTCAAATTAGTTTTACAGCCCCTTAATCTTGTTAATGTTTTCATTTCGATGTCCCGCCCTCCATCGTTTTACCAATCAGAAAGTCTGTGATCCGAGTTGCCAGAACTCACCGGGTCAAATCTCACTGACATGTGGCCACAGAACAAAAAAGGTCTTGTTGTGATTCTCAAATCATTAACAACAAAACAAGGAATAAAACCAGGATTTCTATTGGGGCCTCCGTGAAAAAGGTATTTGTTATAGATTTGTTGTTGACGAAACTTTTGTTTATTCAGTTATTATTATTATGGTCCCAGCTGGATTCGTCTGTATATCTGGCAACCTGAGTCAGGGAGAGTGGGGGAGGTTGCAGTACCACTTTTGGCCAGATTTTTTAGTTTTTTTACATACTGCGCCTTTAATTATTTTGTGTTGTGTGCTCCTCATTTCTACTGTCTATAACTTATGATACAACACTGAAATTTCTCCACTGTGGGACGAAAAAAGGATATCTTCATCTTAAATATTTTTTTTATCAATTTAAATCAAATGTGGCATTAAAAGTCTTTACTCATGTCATGAAGCAACATGAACAAAGTGAGCTGCTTGCAGACAGCTGGGGAGAATGAATGTATTTTTGTCATTATTCAAAGAGTCACCCCATCGCACTTGTGATTTCCTCAGAGAACACTTCCCACAAACCACCACACAGACATCTGGAGCAGCTGACAGCTCCAGCGTCTGCTGTCACGTTCGTGAGATAGAGGCTTTGCCATTTTCTTTCAACCTTGCATCATTTCACGAAGTATGATTGATATTTGCCTCATCCAACTTGCTCTTTAACCATAGAAGTGTGTCTTTGCATCCACTCATGTAATTAAGGGGAGACAACCTAAACTGGTATCAAAGTCTGTTTTTCCATCCTGACTAAACATAACCTGCAGGGAAAAGTTCTGAGTGTTGCATGTGTATGTACACCGAACTGAGAGATTGACTTCTGCTTCATTTCTTTATGCAACTCACCAAACATTCGTTAACTCCATGATGGGCAGTCCTGAGTCTACTTCAGATGCGTTTCTAATTAGTCAACAAAACATCTTCCCAAGTTCAACTATGCCGCACGCCCAGGATGTGCTGCGACCAATGAGCTGTGGGACACGCGCGTACTTTTGCGCGTCACACTGTGTGCAGATGGATGGGTGTGTTTGCGTGTGCGTGTATGCGCGTATACGTGTGCGCATACAGTCTATGGGCGGAACAGAGACTGTTGCTAGGGCATGTCCCACACGACTCTTACAACCCAAGACCAATAGAAGCGCAGGGTTGGGTCTGGTGACTCTTGATTGGTCAAAGTTCAGAGACAAAGCCCGCCTTCCTGCTGACACATTGGTGAGACGTGCTGTCACTCACGTCCCATACTTTTAGTTGGGTGCTGTTGATACAGTAGTTTGGAGTCGTCAAGACTCAGAGCAGAATATAGGCTAGTGCAGACAGCACTCTCAAGCTGTTTTAACCCCATTCCATTATTTTGTACATTTGTGTAAATATACTATTTCTATTTTTGTATCGTGGCACCATGATGGAATTTAATTCTCTTTTAATTCTGCTGGAGGCTGCAGAGTTCTTGGAAAGAAGAGACAGAGGTATTTCATTGCAATTGAATCATAATGAACCAGCCGAAATTTATAATGACCAGACATAATGACTAGTTAAATCACAGTTTTGGCAAACAATAAAGTTTGCCATTCTGCAGGTCACATTAAGGACAATGGGACATAGAACAAACGATGGGGCAAACAGCACTGAGCAGTGCAACATGACTGAGGAATATGGATTATCTGAAACATTGTTGCGTGTCATTTGGTAACAACACATGTTTGCATATTGTTATATGCAGGACATGTGTCATGTGTGCTTTGACTGTCGCCCTTTTACTATTAGACGTTTTAAAGTGAGTGTTTGGTGAGTGTCATTGAACCAGCTCCCATCGATGTGATACACACTTTGCCAAAGCTGCTGAGTGTGTTATTAAAGGCAAACACACGAAACAAATGGCCGTAAACACAGTAGTTGATTGAAGTTTGACACAGGGCTGCACACAGGGTTGGACAGGGCTTGTTGTTGACTGTAGTCAGAATAACATGGACTGAAGTTAACCCATTTGTGTCTCTCACCCACAGAGGCAGAACACGGCTATGCATCCGTATTACCATTCACTAGCGACTTTTCCAGGAAGAAAACGAAACCTGCACCAATTACCCGAAAAGCCCCGAACAATAGGTAAATGTGACTCTATCGTGTTGTTATGACGCTACAGCATGCGTCTCAGAGCGGCTGTGAGCTCGGAGGCTGCTCTCCCTATACTTATGCCACCTCTCGCCGCTAATGCTGCTCTGTGCCTGGGCTTGGCTTTCTGTTTTGGTCTCTCCAATAAACACTGCCACGCGTACACTGTCAACTCTGCAGCCTCCACTCCCACTCCAGTTCTCACGCACATGCCTCCTCCTCTTCTCCCCGCGGGTCGTCTGCATGTACAGCCCACTATGTCATGTATTTATGCCAACATCACCTCTGCTAAACAAATGCATATATACACGCACTAATATGATTCGCTTATGTGGTGGGCAATGGCCTTGCTCTTTCTGGTTCAGATCAAAAGTTTAGACCCACGAATTAAAGCACGTAAAACAATTGCACTGCATGTATTTTAGCACACAGCGTTAAACGGGAAGTCGGAGATACGTTTGACTAGAACTATTATTTGTAACTCAAGATCAGCGTAACAACATTGCTATGGAAAATCAGTTGACGTAACTCTTTATGCGCCAGAAATGTGATGTGGAAATGACAAAAGGTGGAGCCCTGAAACTTTTTAAGAGGTATAAAACTACTAATATCAAGAAAAGTATTTCAAGAAAAAAAATACAAACACGTTTTGGGGAAGCCAGTTTGCTGTATAGAAAGAAATAATATTTGGTTAGGTTTAAATAAAAATAAAATGTGTCGTTTTCAGTGCCTGATGTTCTGTTAATTTTCTATACACCCCTAACTTTGCACCACTAGATGAATTCTCACGATAATTAAATTATTTTCAAGTTTTGGGGTTCTGGCTGATCAGACCAAAACTCCTCATGAAGAAAACACAATAATAAATCAATCAATAAATAAAACGGGTAGTTCAGTGAGTATGTTTTGGGCGTGTAAATTAGTCAGCATAAAATGGTGACTAATTTACACCTTAGCAACAGACTTCTCATTTACAGTAGTTTCAGTTTCTTTTATCTCACTCAGTGGAAATGTTATCATATAAAACTGTTTGTTACTTATTGACAGAAAATAAACATCCCAAAATGTCACATCCCATCTGGAAGAACTAACTCCTGACATCTCTCAGTTCTGGGACGAGGCGATGGGGTTGCATGAAAATTATGTAGGTCAGTGTACTAGGCATATGTTAACTAAAATGTAGGATTTTTAATTACATTTTTAAATACATTTCTCAAAGCTGACGATGAAGAGAGAAATACCCTGGCTCTGACAGAAGGAAGTGTTACCCTATTTTCCAAGAGCTTTGCCACTACACAGAAACCGGCTTTAGTCCTTTGTTTTGCTGCAGTAATTACAGGCTCAGAAATGTTATATGAAAGAGCCAGTGTAATTGCATGTGTTTGTCTCAAAACAGAGGTTGTAAAATTCCTCGAGTCAAGCTTGTGATTGGGGGAGGGGTTTGGCTGGGGCATGGGGGATGTGGCAGGTGGGTGTGGTGCCTAGTCCATGGCAAACACCAGTCTAAACTTGGCTCCATTCATCGAACTTTTCCCACCTTTCCCATTTTCTTTTGTCTTTTTTCCAACTACACAAATCCCTTTATACGCTGCCACCTCAGCTCATCCCTTTTTGGTCTATGGAAACAACAGGATGCTCGGGGGCACTTTAGTAAAACATGTTTGATCTTGTGGGTGTATTTTTAGCAAAGCTGGGATTGTAAGGACAATGCACAGTCAAAACCTCCTATTTGAGACTAAATAAAACGTCTTTACACAATGCAAGGATATCATTTACCTTTGCATTTAGAAGAGTTGGTTTCAAAAAATAGTTTCACTGGAAATAAATGGGTTTGATGCCACATCCAGGCAGGATCTTTCTGTGTGGAGTTGGCACGTTTTCCCTGTGTCTGCGTACGTTTCCTCCAGGTGCTCCGGATTCCCCTGCCTCTAAACATACAAAAAGCTGTCTGTGAAATGCAGTATATTAATGATTACCTACTTACTTATTACGACCTTTTCTATCACAAAATGCCCAATATCAAGATCACCAGATATACTACATGTACCCTTTGTCTTACATGGCATTCAAAGGCATGCGCCAACCTATACCAAATCAAATATCTGCAAACATAATATCTTGTATTAGTTGATCTTGAATGTTAAGGTTCAAGGCCGGTTAAAAATGGGTGAAATCTGCTGAATCCTCAGGCAAATTAATGGACTTTTTTGGGTAAATGTGTGATTCATCTGGTTGCACACTTTTTCTGTTTAAGATAAAATAAGATAAAAATAAACTTGATCTGACAATGGGGAAATTTACAATCCCTGGAATGCTCTGAGTGATGGTCAGGCAGACCTAACCAACTACCATGAAATCCTCGTTTCGTGTGATCTTCACAATGAGGGTTGTAATCGACCAAAGAAATGCATGGTCAGCTTTAGACATTCCTGGTTGATCGATTGGGGCAACAAAAAAGTGGTTGCGCCGAAAAATATTTTACAGTTAAGTATGACTGAACCATTTTTATTTCTTAACAAAACTAGTAATGCAACTGCTCTTAACAAAAAAATTATATATCTTTTTGAACTATATAAATACCAAATGTTTCGCTAATTTATTCCATATCTTAGTTTTATCATAAATCCTTGTACCTTTAATAAATGATCAAATAATACATATACATTTATTCACATATTTAGGTCAACTAGGACGCCATCGTCTGATTCGACCAAACCACGGCAGGTCTAGAGAATTGTGGAAGATTTAGTTTTTCGCCCTAGCTACTTTGCCTTCATGTAAGCCTTTATGTGTGATGGTCAAGTGCAGAAGCCGGCGTTGTCACACACAGCTGTGGGAACTACTGCTCAGGCCGACTCAAGGGCCCTCAAACCAGCGGAAAATGTGAAAAGGCTTGTTGTCCGCTCTGCCTTTTGTTGTTGCTGTTTTTGTTTTTATTGGTGGTATCCATGACGGTCCCATGAACAGAGAGCCTGTTTCAGACGAATGACCGTGCCCTCGCTGCTCCCATCATAATAGGGCTCTCCTCGGAATAGCCCACACGCTGAGGAATTCTGCAGCTTCTCGGGCCCCCAGACGTCTGTGAGAGTGTTTTTATCCGAACTCTCAGCCCGAGCCAGCGCGTATACACACCACCGCTGCCTCGCTCTGGGTTGTGTGTGTGAGAGGAGCAGCCACTGGAGGAGGGGATAGAGCAGCCACTGGGGCACTTTGGCCCAAGCTACAGTCTCACTTCAGTCGCTCTCTCTGGCCATTTAAAAATCTTGGCCCGTTATACTGCCATTCACTTGTTAAACTTAAAGTGGGGGTTCTATCTGTTCCACTAATGACTTCTTTCTCAAGTGTGAGTATTTATCTGAAATGGAATGGACATTTGTTTTTGGTTTATGGTTTTCCGCATTCAGTTCATTCAAAAACTAAAACCTTTGCCAAATATTCTGGTTGCGATTGGTCACATACATTCTTGACTGGTGGTAAAAGCTCTGAAAACAAAATTGTTGAGAGCATAGCTTCACAAAAAAACTGCTGCTAATAAACAAAAAAGAACCTTGTGAATTGAGAGTTTGTTCAAGCTTGAATATTTGTACTTCTCTGCAATCTTTAATGTGACTTATTTTTAACTGTGTATGTGAGCAATTTGACTATGCAATTTCCCTCGAGGGATCTATCTATCTACTTAACTATCTATTTGTTTAAGTAAATGCCTAAATCTTCAGCAAGTATTTGAGGCTATGGAGCAATTGAACAGTAATTTCTGATGTGATTTCTATTTTCCCTTGTAATTGAATTAATTATAGTTGATCAAAGACTCACATTGCATCTGCTGCAATTGTCAAAGTGTAGTATACTCCAAAGGAAAAGATTACACGCCACAATTCTTAAGTTCTTTGGGGAATCCTAGCTTAGCCAAGATGCACAACTGTGACGCAAGGACACCACCATACTGCTTTGAGCGAATTCTTTAACTCAGCGTTTTCTTGCATAAGTGCTGACCTAGAATCCGAACAAATGTTGGAGAACGGGGGGAAAATAAGGTGAAAAACTAGAGCACGCCTGCAAAAATTGAAAAGGCAGACTGGGACACTGTTCTGCTCTACTACTTTGGACGGAGAGTCGTCAAGACACGGCCTATTTAAACAAACACAATATTGCTTCACATTGACGCATGGAGTGACAGTTGTCCCATAGAGGCCAAAGAGCTTAATAAACCCGCACATTTTTCATGCTTTTTATGAAATGTCTATTTTAAGGACGAACGCTCTAGCTTATAAATGCATGGCTTAGGCTATATCCACACGAAGACAAAACGCTTATAATTTCAGAAACTTTTTCTGTAAACACGGAGTTAGCTCAGTAAATGTGTGCGTCCATATGAATGTAGTCAATACGCCTGAAAACGCTGTGAAACTATGCCAGACCTGTTGGTGGCGCTGTGACGCAATGACGGGATCAAGCCCAAACTTCCGTGACGGGAACTGGGCATGCGCAGAATTTTGTAAACAGACAACATGGCGAGTGGGCGAGCTGGTACTACATTAGTATGGACGGACGATGAGGTTGAACTGTTGCTTCGGGTCACACTGGATTACAAAACAACAAGCTACATTGTTGTTGTCATTATTTTCTGAGTGCGGCGCATGCGTGCTTTAACAAGAGGCGGGGCGATGACGCAAGCGTCTCAGATACATTGCGGAGAGGCAGTAACCACGGAGCGGCATATACGGAGTTTTGAAATCTTTCCACTCTGGGACCTAGTTTCAAAAATGTTCGTTTACACCCCCCCAAAACGCCGGCCTCGTATGGACGATACACTGGATTGATAAAGTATTTTTGCGTTTAGGCCTGAGCTTGACTTCGTGTGGACAGGGCCTTAATCCCACTGGAAACATAGGCCTTCAGCGACCAATGAATATGAACCAGATAAGGCCTGTCTGACAGCGTTATAGTCACACACTTGCTTTGATCTTTTGACACATTTTCTTCTTTAAATCCTCTTCCGCTGGCTTACCAATTCGATGCACACATTCTACCTTCATGTTGTATAATTTGACACGCCGATATTTCATGACACCTCTTTTCTTTCTCTTGCAGATCGTCACATAATGAGCTCGAAAAACACAGGTAAGGCGACGGCTGATGCTCTCTGATCTCCCCCATCTTTCATATTCACTCATATTAGCATGCAGCTCCCAGGCCAGCCTCCACGCATTCCTCACATAGTCAGAAGGAGGTTGGCTGCAGGTGAGCGACACATATTTTGGCTCGCCGCGGTGCGCAAAGAGGTGCAGATCGCATCAAGAGTCAGCTTCAAAGGAGTTTGCTCTCTTGTCTGAAAAGAGGCTGGCCTCAGAAGTACGCAGTCTTGTAGATTAGATCTGTCTGCAGTCATAGTTGAGACCGGCTGGTTGTTTATAAGAGGAATTTGGATAAAGTGAAAGAGGCGGGGTCTAATAAGTCTCACCTTTTGTTTTTTTATAGTTTGACTTTAAATGCATGCGAAATATAAAAGTTAGCAAAGAGCATACAAGCATAAGAAAATGGAGTATACTTAAAAATGTGTTCTGACTCCCTGCCTAGTCTAGTCTCCATGTGAGGCGCCATGTTTGATTAATCAGATCAAGCCTTGTGCTGCTTTCAAGGCGTTTCAAAATGTTGGAAAGTATGTGTAGATAAAATTGCAGACATTTATACTGTTTATGTATACTTTTGGAAAATACACCACAAGGACTTTGAGCATTTGATTTTCACTGCTGCAGCACAAGACATTTCATTATAAAAGCACCATGTTTTAATTCAATTGACCTCAATTTATTCTTGTATAGCCCTAAATCATAACAGTAGATATATCGGAGGACTTTACAAAACCGTGGAATTCGCCAACACAGATTAGAGAGTCAAACAAGAGATGCAATGATAAAACCCACATAGAGCCATTGGTCTTTCTGCTTTAGCGTCACGTAACAAAAACAAAACAATGAAACTTTGTACTTTCCACAGTGATCAAAATGAGTGGGTGGCCTACGTACGTCCAAATATATATATTTCCAATATGGTCATGGCTTTCACTGTGCTCTTAAATGCATCTGCTGACCTTGTCTCTGTCATATCTGGTTTATGTGTTGCCTGCACAAACGCAGTAGAATGGGCAGGCACAAATGAAATTAATCTTGTTCCATATCAAGATCAATATATAATATAATAATGATCCATAGGTTTCACAAAGAAAAACTGTACAGAAGACAAAAGTGCGAGAGTTACTACTTACTGCTACTTACTTACTCTCAAAAAACTATTAGTAATCACACTTCTCTAAACATCTTTCTTTCCAAACTTTTATCTGTGTACCCAACGAAAAATAATGATTCAAATTCAACTTCACAATTCACACGCACACACTTAATCAGTCTGATTTCAGCCAATCATCAGAGCTCTTGCGTTGGACGCTTGGACGCGATGTGTTGAGCAGGACGCCGTGAATTCAGTCAGAAGTGGTGTAGCACGCTGTAGCATGCGCGGGCGTGGTCCAGCTGTGACGTCCAGCTGAGGTGACATGCAAGAACCAGTAAAGTTCCATCATGTATGAACACACTTCCTTTGCAACTCCAGTATTATCACACATGGTTACTGTACATCCCACACAAAGATTTTTGGTTTTCTGTAAATCTGCGTCATTTTGGGATTGCGCTGTTTTGTGGTGAACGCTGATTTCGTTAGTAACGAGATGACACGCAATGAGGACCTTTTATGGGAAATTTATGGTGATAGTTAAAGGAGCAGTATGTAAAAATCTGGCCAAAAGTGGTACTGCAACCTCTCCCTCTCTCCCTCACTCAGGTTGCCAGATTTACAGACTAATTCAGCTGGGGCCATAATATCTGAATAGTCAAGAGTTAACACAAAGTTTTCACAAAGGCCCCAATAAAAATCCTGGGTTTATTCCTTGTTTTGTCATTGATGATTTGAGAATCATAACGAGACCTTTTTTTTAACTACTGAGGCCTGACATGTTACTTTACCAGTGAGATTAGCTCGACGCAGTGAGTTCTGGCAACCTGGATCACGGACTTTCTGATTGGTAAAACGGTGGAGGACGGGACATCGAAATGAAAACAATGAAAAGATTTAGGGGCTGTAAAACTCATTTTTAAATTGAAATATCTCAGCTGAACCAGCATGGTTTATGAATGCCTTTTGAGAGATTAGGGCCATTTAATGATGACTTGACATGAAAACCTTACATATTTTTTACTTATTCTTTTACCGGTGCCTTTGATAACAGAACAGTTCTGTTTTGGCCAGTTCACAATATCTCACAATATCTCACAATATCATTAAGACCGTTCCAGATTGTAGCTGTGTATATATAGTTGTGGCAAATCACACGGAAATAGGACAGAAGCTACCACCATTATTATTTCTGCTCTTTTATTGTGATATTTTTGTGTGAATCCTTTTCCTTTCTCTCTGAAGTCTAACATATAAAAACACACAACTTGGTATATCCTTGACCATTTTTGTTGGGATAGTTTCCCAATATAAGAACGAGGACGTGGGATAAGCAAATAAGGCTCTAATAACAAATCGCTCTTGTGGAGTCACACTGTTGCCAGGTGCCAAATGAAATGTCTTGTATTCATTTTAATGGATACTTTTGAAGGAAAATACACCTTGTACTCTAAGTTAGTTCCTGCAGGGAAGCATTATTATTGTGATCCTCAGCTAACCACTGCATCCTGATTAAATCCCTGTCTGGACCTGCGGTAGGAAATTATATGGTCATTACTTCGACATCCAGGTGTTGTGCCCGAAACTGTGACATCAGCTCCAGCAGCGTCACCACTTCACCATGTGCCACAACGAAAAAACAAGCCAAACAACAACAAAAACTACAGATTACAGGCATTTCAAGTTCCTCCCAACTCTTGGCTGGAATTAAAAAGACAACACACAAAATCTTCGACAGAACCAAAGACGTGACCCGATTTAAACTTCTCTGTTCACTTCCTCTTGGCCCAAATCCAGACATTTGGATCCTGCATCTCCTATTGCCTGACTCTGCATATATCATCTGCTATTTTTATTGACATCGTCGTACTGATTTAATGAAAACATAATATGCCAAAAAACTAAAACATAATTGTCCTTTTAAGCATGTTTCAACATTGTTCCCGCATCAAAAACAGTCTCTTTACAATCTCAGTCTGTGTTTGCAGCGGGTGAATTGTAAATTTGAAAACAAGAAAAAACACAATTTTTCCCTTCTGATGATAGCATAGGGAGTTACAGACAGAAAGCCTCTACTGACCCTTCATACTTGTTTTACCATAGTTTCTAAAACATGATGTGACAAAGTTAAAAAGTCTCATTATCACCAAAAACTATGCATACATTTATTCCTTAAAATAATACTTAAGAATTGGTGACAATGAGGTTGTACTTTACATGTGTGTTTCTATGGCGCTCTTGCTTCGTCATGTCCCCAGTCAAACCAGTTACCTAGCTCTCATGATTCCACTGTCCATTATACTCCCCAGCGTGGCGGACCTGTCGAGGGGCTTGTCCATGGTCACACCCGCTGCCTGACTCACTGTCTGTGCTGATCACATGCTCTAGGGTTTTACAAGGGAGCGCACACATCCGTTACTGTATTTTCACAAGTCTATATACCAGGTGCCTCGTCAAATGCCCACAGGCGAGAGCGGTTTTAGTGAGCTGTCAAAGTTTTGTCTCGTGCAAAAGACAGGACTATAAAAGCGCATCTCCGGAACATAACTGTTTTTTTCATTGTCTGAAAATAAATGACAAGGGTGAAGTTTATTTCAATTGTAAAGTAGGATTACAACGGGTTTTTTCCCCTCAGTTCTCAGCATACATTTTGATATGCCTAATAACATGCAGATCAAAAGGTCGCTGCAAGCCTTACCAACATTTTTGACTCTAAAAATATTTTTTGTCATGATATGTTTTATCAAATAAGTGGTTAGTTTCCATTTTTAAAACGAATGCTTGAAGCTGGCAAAAGATGCGACCAAGTTCTCTGACAATTTGACACTAAAAACCTTCTCTGGGAGAGAACCGCCACCCCCCACCCCCCTCCAAGACATGTTGTCATGGAAACATGTGCACCTACTACAATGTGCATGATTGTTCTTGTTTAAAATCTGAAATAGTCTAAATATCCTACATAATTAAGGTTGGACTATTATGAAGACAAAGTTGTATTACTCAAACAGAACAGTATTTACATAAAGACATTGGATCAGGCCTTTATGTTAATGTGTAATTTATAATGATCAAACTGTCTGAAAATATTGACCACAAACGGCTTCCACTTCTCTGTCTTATGATCCTCTTTGTGGCATTGGTGGCTCAGCACAATCGCTTACATGCTGCTTGTCTCACATAAACGTGGCGGCTGGTGGCTTGGCGGCGGTGAGTGGGCTTATATTTGTGTCCTGTTATCAAAAAGAGATGTCTGGGCGGACGCCAGCCTGGCCCACTGAGCCCTGTCCTGACACAACCCCTTATCACTCTGAACTCGGTGTTGGCCCCGTAAGCTGCTCGCTTCTTGTCAAACTATGCGCAGTGTGGTCTCTCTTCACCTGCTTTGGTCTTACTTCTGCCAGTCTATCAAAACCACATCCACTTCCTTCTTGATCAAGGCTACTAGATTATGAAACCTAAGACTCTTTGCTTTCCCATATATTACTTATTTACAGGAAATTCTGTCCTGAGTGTCTGCAATGAGAACGCATTTCCCTAAATAAGAAAAAACAAACTCAGCTATTTTTATCCGTATAGGCACCACCCAGACATCAGGTGGAACTGGTTTCATTTCTGAAATCATACACGAGGAGACAGGGGAAGTACTCATGACGTCAAAACAATAGTGACTGCGTGACTTGGAAACTAAGGTGTTATGTAATATATTGCAAACACAAACTGAAACTAGAAGTCGCAAGGATTTTTAGTTTATTTTATTATTCATTATCCTGTAAAACATTGTTGGTCCTACAAGGAGCCCCCAGGACCAATGATGTTTTGCCTCTGTATTTCTCTAAAACAGCCTTTGTTTGACCACTTTTGTTCCAATAATTAGGATTTTTTGTTTAATCAAAAAGCTAAAGCAATATTCAAACAACTAAACGAGCGTCTTGCACTTGAAAGACAGACCTACAGACTGACTTCTGTGGTCAATACAATGTGTCATGCTTTCAGCTCGTGCAGAAACCTGTTGAGGTAGAAACAGAGTGAATATCGCTCTCCATATCATTGGCTCATCACTTCAGCCTCCACCACCATCAAGATTTAGACCCCACCACCATCAAGATTT